TGAGATAACATATAGTGTCTCAACTTTTGAACTGCAAAGATCAAGGCTAGGTTATGCTTTTCAATTGTAGAATATTTAATTTTAGTAACAATTAGATGATGAGTTAGGTAATATAATGCATTTTCTTTTACTTAGTCTTTAATTAGAGCTAGCAAAGCTCCAAGGGAGACATCTAAAGCTGTAGTGTACAAGATTAGTGGTCTTCCTGAGATAGGAGCTACTAAAACAAAAGGTGTCATCAAATATTGCTAAATGATGTCAAAACTGTATTGGAATTTTTCATCCCACACAAATTTGGCATTTGTTTAGTTAAGGTGGTAAGAGGTTGACACCTACCTGACAAATTGGAGATGAAGCACCTTACCAGACACCTACCTGACAAATTGGAGATGAAGCACCTTATATATGTCACCTTACCTTGAAAAGACCGTAGTTGGGTCAAATTTCTTGGGGGGAGGCATATTTTGGATTGCTTCAATTTTAAGAGGATCTATTTCAATCCCTTGATGAAGAACAATAAATCCTAAAAATTTCCTTGAGCTGACACTGAATGCACACTTTAAAGGATTCAATTTAAGGTTAAATTGTCATATTCGCTCAAAAAAAATTCTCAAATCATACACATGGTCATCCTTTTATTTGCTCTTAACGACTAAGTCATCCACATAACACTCAACCTGATTGTGAGTGAGTTCATCGAATATCTTTTTCATAGCTCGGTGATATGTTGCACCAACATTCTTAAGTTTAAAGGGCATTACCTTATAGCAATAAATCCCGATGGGTGTTTGAATGACTGTGTTTAGTTCATCTTTTGGAAACATTTTAATTTAATTGTAACCTGACAAACCGTCCATGAATGAGAATATTGCAAGTGCTGATGCAATATCCAATATTAATTCTAGAATTGGTAAAGGAAATTCATCTTTTGGACAGGCTTTATTTAGATCCCTAAAATCAACACAATCTCATATTGGGCCATTTTTCTTTTCCACCAGAACTACATTGGCCAGCTAGGTCAGGTATGTTTCTTCTTGGATAAAACTGACCTCAATTAATTTTTTAACTTCAGCGATGATTTGTCATTCAATTTCCATATTCATCTTTCTTTGGGCTTATTTTACTTTGATTACTGTTTGATTTATCCCGAACTTATGGATAGCCACTTCTGGGGAAAGCCCTAGCATTTCGTTGTAGTTCCAGACAAAAAAATCCTTGAATTCTCTTAATAACTTAATCATTTCTTCAACTTCAATGTCATTAAGCAGAGAACTGATAATTGTTGGCCTTAGAGTTTCATCTTCTCCTAAGTTAATTTCTCTTAATTCATACACGGTTTATCTAATTCTTCCTCAAATTTAGGAGGTGCATTTTCTATTGAGGATTATTCAGAATCATTACTTCTGTTTATTTAATGTCAAGTTCTTATGTGACAACGAGACAATATTCTGTGTTGTCGAGGGGTTATATTGTACCCAATCTGATACCTTCTTTTGAATAAGGTTATTGTTGTTGACTATCCCATAATTGTTCAAAGAGGTGTGATTGATCTGCAAACCATTTTTTTGGTACTAAACCACGTTGAATAATTTTTCGAACACAGGGGGAATAATGTTCAACAAGAAGTGTCATTAAATTTAAGATATTTTCTCCTTCTAGATTTACATTTACATCAGAACTAGAAGAAGAACCAAGTTGGAACTTGATAGGTTTCAAACCTTGATTATGTACTTCTTTGACCACTAATTCCTCAATTTTATTTGGAGAAATTGGATTTAGGGTCATAGTTTATATGTAATGATTAATTTGTTTGTACATAGATTCGAACGGTTTTGCTTCTCTTTCTTCTTCAGAAGATATTTTGAATTATAGCTCTTTTCGGATAGCCTTCTTTGCTTTTTTTTGCTTTTTTATCTTCTTTAGAGAATGAGTCCAGGCAGATATTGATTCCCAAAGGTTTCTTCAACTTTATGATTGGATCTTCTCTCCCTTCTCCTCGTCCCCAGCCTTGACCTCGGTTATGAGTATCATGAGAGTTTCTATCCTTCAACTGAGTGGTAGCATAACATTTTGTGATTTTATTTTCCTTGTCTTCATCTTCTTTAGTCATTTCCTTATTTTTATCCTTTTATTTTGCATTAATTACTACTTCCCTAGAGAAAATTGACTTTTTCAACGGGATGTAGAATGTAGCGTCTTCATGTATGCCAATTTCATGTATTGAGAACAGTTGTAGATTGCCCTTAATACAAAATTCATGTCCTTCATGTAAATATTTAATGTACTAGTGCAATAATGGTTGGACCATCTTGTGCTCATGGAGTCATGATTGCCCAAGTAAAGCATTGTATGATGTTTCAAAGTCTATAATATAGAAATTTTGTTGTTCTCACCAAATTATTGATCTTTAGGGGATCTTTCCCCTTGTTGGGTGAAACCACGTAGCATCATTTTATTTGTTGTTAGTCTGCGAGCATTTTAATCCAAGCAAGCAAGCATTCTTAAGTTCATAATGTTTATTGGGTCAGCAAGTACCCATGAAAGTGTAGCATTCTTAATGTTTACTGATATGTAGAGCGAGCGGTTGTGTTCAGCTGTATTCAATAGTAAATCATTATCAGAGAATGTGACTATAGCTAGAACTTCCAATGGATAAGCCTCATTTGAGGAAGTTTTAGCAAATTGAGTTAGACAAATCTCAAGATCTTGAAGGGCTTTTATTAATGATTCCCTCATTTCTTTTGAGAGAATGAGAACATCATAAATACTCAATTTTGCTGGTAGTCTCCTCAAATGTGCTAACACATTGTAATCCAATTTGTTTTGTGGCTCGTTGATGTCTTCATTAGTTTGTTTTTCTTACTCCGGGGGAACATTTTTTTGGCATAATCATTTGTATTTCTTTTTCATTCAGAGCTTTTCTCAAAGGTAGAACTTTTCCACACTCTATGCCGATTTCAATTATTTCTTCTTGTTCGTGTCAGAGGTAAACTTTCTTTCGAAGGCATTTCTTTTGAAATTTTCTTTTCAATATCTTGTGATTCAAATATTATGGAAATTAGTACTCCTTGTAGTTTTAATGTAGCAAAATTATCTTCATGGAAAAGATTTTCATTATCAGTATCGTTATGGTTGTTGTCAGACCAATCAAGATTGTGTATTATTCAAGAATTATTTTTAGTATTGAAGCTAGATTCATCATCAAAGATAGTGAAGTTGTAAAAAAATTAAAGGATTTTGCATTAAATATGCCTGTAGGGTCATTGAAAAACTTACACAAAGTCAATGGTTCAAGGGATATTTCTCTTTGATCTGTTATAACTAGTCTAATATCATGAGTAGAAGTAGAAGGAACAAAAGTGAGAGGTACAAATGGAGTAACAGGCCCTTTATTGTGATGACCTCTATCCCTGTTAGCTTCATTTTCTTCTTCCTCTTTTTTTTTTCTTTTTATTGTTGGGAGCTATTTCATCTTTGAAGTTGAGGCATCCTTTGTCTGATTGAAAATCTTTTTAGTAGATTTTAATCATGTCATTTCCACTTATCTTTGTTCTTGTGAAGCTTCGCAAGAACAAATTTGTCAATTGAAATTAGATTGATTGAACCCTTTTTAGGCTCCTTCAAGTATTGTTTTGGGATATTTATGTTCCCTACCTTAAAGTTTTACTCCAACCAATCTTTAAAGACAAAGCAATCTTCAATTTTTTGTCCCAGCATCCTGTGATATGCTCAATAATTAGGTTGGTCTTTCATATGAACTTCTCCTGGTCTTTTAGCCTCAGGAAGTTTAAATTTTGGTATCTTGAGCAAGATAAGGAATATCTTGGCCACAAATTTTGTTTTGAAAGGATATTCTTTATTCATTTGATCTGTCATTGATTTCTTTTCCGTACCCTATTGATTTAGTTATTTAAGTTGAAACTGTAGAGATGACTATGGTTGTGAGATGTTGAAGTTTTATCGTTGTTTTTTTCTGCTTGGGTTGCACTTGCATTATTTGCTTCCCTTTTTCCATGGTTTAAACATTCCCTTTATTCTTCTTGAATGTCTTAACCAGTTTCGGCTTCTTAACCTTTTCTATCACACTCAAATGTTTGGCTTTTTCCTGAAGGTTTGCAACATTACTGAGCAGTTTTTCAAATATTTTATCGTGAAACCTTTAAGCATAAATGCCACTAGTCCGTGAATGTTTTTAAGTAGAATTTCAATTGCATTTTGTTCTTAGACTTGTGGTTCACATTTCATGCTGAGGTTTCTCTATTGCAAAATGTATCCATGAGATTTTCTCTGGGCTTTTGCTTCTCTAGCACCAAACTTTCTACAAATTTGAAGATAGAGAAATCACTTTATTTATAAGAATAGTTGGAAAAATATACAACCACTTCTTCAACAGATAAGTAGCAAATGTGTAAATGAGGATTGTGTCATCTGTATATCCACTCCCTTTCCTTTCCAATGCAGGAGTTCGAATTGTAGTTATAAGAGTAGCACCTCTTCCCTTGCAAAGAAGGTGAAAGCCTACCATCATAAATGCCAAAGAATACTACTTACTTTCCTTCTTAGGATGGCTTTTTCTAACACCTCTATTTCTCCTTTATTTGTGTAAACTTATCACATCGAGAAGACAAGTCTCTGCTTTTAAGGTTCTTTCATAGTAATAATAGACGATGCAAAATTAATCACATAACCTCTCCAAAGTTTATTTGAACTGCATAGACCTTTTTAAATGGATAGTATAATTTTCATAGCACAAAAAAGAAATATCAAAGATCCTTAAAAGCTAGTAAAAAACATGCATTTAACTAAAGATCTAAGCCAAATTCTATAAAAATATAACCCATATATTTAACATGTTTGCATAGAATCTTTGCATGCAAAGTTGGTCTGAGTTGACAATGCTTGCCTCAATATATCAATTATAAGACACTGGTTCAACCCAAATATAATAATAATAATAGTAATAATAAAAAGCAAATAAGGATAACAAAATTATTTCAGTCACATAATTTTGGCAATTCGACTGCACATTTTAGAAGTGATGCAAACATCAAAATATCTTCTAACATAATTCCATATTGAAGGAAAAAACAAAGAACCAAAACAAGCAATCCATGAGGTCTTACACCCTACTCTCATAATCTTATTTACGAAACACTTGTTTTGAACAAAGAGCAACGGCAACCCTTCCATGTATAGGATAATAGAAATCGCATGGCGAATGGAATTTATTTCACTCATTTATCTAAAGAATTAAACAAGATCTTTGCTTTCTCCTTTTTCTCTTTGGCTTTGGAGGGCACAATACCACTTTGATTGCAGCATCAAAAACAGCTTTCACGTTCTGCAAATAAAAAAAAGAGAATTAAGAAAATGTTAAGAATATCGTCACCACAAAAGAAAATTGCAGTCACTTTCAGTCATTTAATCAATATTTGCCTAATTATTTTGGCCAAATATTACACTTTGGTATTTTATATATTACTAATTTGTCAATTATAATCATTAGTTTACAAAATGCAAAGCCAATGGCCGATCAGCCAATTAAAATTTTTTCAAAGACATAATAAATGTCACAATGACGAGTTACTTTTCGTTCTCATGTAAATGCTTATTAGCTTAAAATATATCTTCAGAAAGATCTCTACCTGCTGAGTCTTGGAGCTACATTCAATATAAGCAGCAGCGCCAATCATCTTTTTCAACTCTTCCCCCTGCGCCCTCAAAAAAACAACACATGCTTTTGTATATATATATATATATATATATATGTACACAAAACCTTAATTCCTTGATGTGAAAAAGTAGAAAAATTTTTGCCTGCGCAGTTGAGATAGTTGTAGCACCAGGGTGGTCGATCAGAAATTGCTTGTTGTCACGTAAATCTGTGCCAGGTGACAGATTAGATATTTGCATAATTTAAATTGGTCTATTTTAAATTATTAGATTTAGGAAATCACTGAAGTTGCATTTTTGGGCATGGAGCACCGGCGCCCAATATCCCAATATACTAGTAAATAGATATCATCGACAAAATAATGTTAGTCAATAAGGTTTCCAATAGTAATTTATTAGAGCTCAACCTATTCTAGCCTTGCTGTGGAGCTATTTAACGTTATCTCAAGTAAATGTCCCATCTGCTAATGCAAATAAGGGCGTTGAGTCCTACATCAGTTGAATGTTGAAAAATAATTGTCGATGAATTACTAAGGGCTAGTTTGAAAACAATTTTGTTTTTTTTGTTTTTAATTTTGTTATTTCTTTATTTTTTAGAAACATATTTATTTAGTATACTTTTTTTATATTTTAAATTTTTTTCTCAAAACAAATTAACATGTTCATATCACAAAATCTTTTAAGTGTTTAGAATGTTTTTAAAAATAATCATATCTTAATCAAACATGCTTGTACATCCGAAATATGACCGCACGAATCTCGAAAAAATTCAACAGACCTCACTAAGGAGATACCAAACAACTGCATCGAGATGATCAAAAGATAAAGTCATATCATTTGGTCGGAATCATGGGCCAACAAAAGTAAAACACAGCTGAACGAAAGAATATTTTGCACCCGATCTAAGGGACACCCATGAGTAATCAACTCCCTCAACCGATTTTGGGATTCTTTATAATGATTGCCAATAGTCGTCGCATATCCTCTAAGAAGACCCCTAATCCAAATGAGAGCTGCCCATCATATTACGGTAATGTGTTATCTGTCTGATGGTCTAAGTTAACCCTAGCGATAAGAAGGTCTCTATAGGGGGTTTGCTCAAGAAGGTCGGCCGAAGACGTTCCGACTGACCCAAGACCTTCCTGCCGACCAATGAGATTTTAGTTGACCGAACGATTATCAAACAACCAAATAATATTATTATTAGCAGATCATTAATGTGTCACTTCGAACAATTATTAATATAAAACGGTGCCAATAGCGGTTACAAATATAAGATGATCTTAAAATCAGTTACAAATAAGTAAAGTTATAATGGTGAATTAATCACTTATAATGTCTTTATTAAAATAGGACAAATATGTAACTAATGAGACCCTCCTATGTATATAATTAGGTGGTCAATTTATCAAGAGAGTCTACTGAATCTATTCAAAGAAAACTTGTATTATTGGGCACTCTACTTTTATTTCTCTCTTTATTCCTCTATTTCTCTCATCCATCCAACGCTTCATTACTTGGGTGTGATCAAGGAAAATTTTTGAATTTAACGTCCTAAAAGGTGCATTAAGCGTGGAGTCATGTTATCAACAAGAAGAGAAACGCGTCACAGCGAAGGAACCCACTTGGGAGAAACTTCGAACATAAAGTCTGCCTATGAATTTGTGTAACAACAAATTCAAAAGCTCCAAAACCGAATAGCAGGATGAATAAGAGAAACTTCGAACATAAAGTCTACCATAAAAGGCTCCGAACCAGGAAACTTTGTGCCTCTTCTTCCCCCCCCCCACACACACACACATAGTTATCTTTATTGATGCAGATTTGCCCACGAAGGTTAATCCATACAACGATGTCGTGGTAATCATGGCGATGAAAAATAACTACCGGGTGAGAAGCATTTTGGTAGATATGTGTAGTTCTAGAAACATATTGCTTACGTCTGCCTTTGACAAAATAAACCTATCGTTGGACCGCCTAGCTATACCGACCAACCCACTATACAAGTTTGTTGGAGTATAAAAGGAGGCACTGTGTATCATTAGTTTGTCAGTCACCTGGGGAGAAGGTGACAACCAATACACTCATATGAAACTTTATGGTGATCAACGCACTACTCACCCACAAGACGATCTTCGGTTAACCATTGTTAAATGACTTCAGAGCAGGGTATCCACTTACCACGTGACTGTTAAGTTTCCATGTAGAGGCAAAATAGTAATTGTTCTGGGCAATCTGGAGCAATCTCGAATATGTTACCTCTGAGCAGTCATATCCACTTACCACGTGACTGTTAAGTTTCCATGTAAAGGGAAAATAGTAATTGTTCTGAGCAATCTGGAGCAATCTCGAATATGTTACCTCCGAGCAGTCAGTAATATGGAGCAAAAAGAGTTGGACATACAACACCAACTAGAGGGAGTTTCCGAAACCGGCAAAACTACAATTGAGATCCCTACTGCCCTCGATGAACCAAGTAATTTTTTTTCTAATTAGTGAGAATTCTGATGCAAGATACAGGGTTTTTTTAATCCAAACACTCCAGGAACACCACGATGTCTTTGTCTGGTCAGCCGCTGAGATGTCAAGCATTTCGATAGATGTACCATGACACCGACTCAACCTCAACTCAATCACCGGACCAATAAAGCAAAAGATTAGAATATTAACAATGACTTTGGTCGGACCAAACTGAGAGGAGGTACAGAAGCTCAAAAAGGCGGGCTACATCTAGGAGGTGCAATACTTGCCTTGAGGATCCAATATGGTCATAATGCAGAAGTCGAACGACAAATGGATAATGTGTGCAAACTTTATAAATTTGAACTCTACTTGCTCTAAGAGCAGCAAACACCTACCAAGGATCGATGTTCTAGAGGATTTTATAGTCGGATATTCAATATTAAGCTTCCTAGACGCTTTCTTCGGATACCATCAAATCAAGATGCACTGGACCGATGCAAATAAGACTGCCTTTTTATAAGCGAACGCTTATATTGTTACACTATATTGCCCTTTAGAATAAAAAATGGTGGGCCTACCTACCAGCACTTGATGGATGTAATATTTACTAAACAGAAAAGAAAATATCTTGAAGTCTATATCTATGATATCTTAATTAAAATTAGATCAGTCGAACAACATATAAACAATCTTAAAGAAGCATTCTAAACGCTCGGAAGATATAATATGAAATTAAATTAATTGAATGGTTTATTTGGAGCATCGATCGAGAAAATTCCTCAGATATGTCTTATCTCCCAATAGAATAAAGTTCAACTCAAAAAAGGTAAAAACGCTCTTAGATATGCATTCTCCTCGAAATACTAAGGAAGTTCAACAATCGATTGGTCGAATATCAACACTCAGTCGGTTCATCTCAAAGTCGATCAAGCGACGAATTTGCAGCATTCCTCAAAACTTTGAGGAAAGATAAGAGTTTTGAATGGTCGACCGAATGCAAGCAAGCATTCCAATACTTAAAACAATCTTGCCTCACCTCCAATTCTACAAAGCTTGAAATCGAAGGAGAAATCTCTTCATATTTGAGAGTCGAGCCAGAAGCCATTATTTTGGTCTTAGTCCGGGAGGAGCTGGGAGAAAAATTCAACATATACTACACCAGTCGATTCCTCAGAAGCGTTGAGGCTAGATATTTTATCATGGAAATAATAACATTTTCTCTAATTATTTATGCTCTCAGGCTCCGATTGTATTTTCAAATGCAACCTCTCGAGATCATCACTGACCATCCACTCAAATTCGTGCTCACTCCAATGAAACATTTTGGGCGTCTCTTGAAGTGGAATGTGAAACTCAGTGAATACGACATCAGTTACATCCCCCAAAAGGTAATCAAAGCTCAGGCTGTGAAAGATTCTTGGCAGACTTCTGATAGACCGAAATAATATGTTATTTTAAGTATATATTTTATGTTTATTTTTTGTGATATTATACTTTAAAGAAGGGTATTTTCATGTTTTTGTTGCAGGTATATCAATTTTAGGCATTTAGAGCAAAAGCAGCAAAAATGACGAAATTTGGAGCCAAAACAACGAATTTTTGAATTATGGCGCATGCGCCGGATCGGTGTCAGATGCGCCAAAACCCAGAACAGCGCGGTCTTCAACAAACTGACACATGATGCGCCAGAGTGGCGCCAGATGCCTCATTTGACAGAGATTTGGCGCATGATGCGCCAGATTTGGCATCACATGCGCCGAGGATGACTTTTTGCACGAATTTTTAAAGGGACACTTGTTCAAAACACTCATTGGAGTAATTCAATGCATCTAGATATTTTAGAAGATTCATTTATAATAGAAACGTCTCTTGGATTAATAGACATATCTTTTGAATTAAAAAAAATTGACTTTTGGACAGAATTCTGAGGGGAATTTTGAATTCTTTTTGGGGGGAAGTCTAGGGCTTGAAGAAGAGAAGAGAAGAGGAGTCTTAGGGCGTGAGGTGTGTGGTGTGAAAGAGAGTTAGAAAGAGAGTCAAGGGTTTGGAGATTTTCTTCATATTTTGTGATGATTTGAACTCTGATCTTCATTTACTTTTCAATCTGGTCAATTGAAATGTTAAAATGTGTTAAAAAATATTAGTTTAGTTAACTTTGTCTTTCATCTGCATTTTAATTAACATTCAATTGTTACTTAATATTCAAATTTCGCACTTTATTTTTTGTATTTTTAAAATAGTACTTTACATTAAAATCTTAAGAACTTATTTACAACTTACTTGAAAGACATTTCCAACTTTTCTGTGGGATTGATATCTAGAACTCCATTAGAACCCTTTATTATTTGAGCGATACATATACTTGTGTTATTTTTAAAGGGGATTTGACAGTTTAAAGATTATTAAAAGATAAACTATTTCAATTGAAATTATTTTGTTGGGATTAATTTGCATATTTGTTATTGCATCTGCCATGTGTATTTTGTAATATTGGAAAATATTTGCAAAACTAACACACTATATCCACCCACATCAACTTCTCTATAGAAAGAGAATCAAGCGGAGGAGCTGATATGTGTGATTGAAGCTAGAGTTTGCACAATGATAGAGCCTTGAGCTAAGCGAGAACAAAAATTCGACAGGCACTGAGTCGTCTAACCGGAGAACATCCCTATCACTATGTCATCCTTGAGTTTAAAGTTACATAAAATCAAGCAAAATATGAAGCACTAATAGCTAGTCTACA